ATTGAGTGGATATGGGCAGCTCATCAAACTAATTGGAACACTTTTTTGCACATCGGAATAAAACGTGTCATGTAATAAACGGTATTTGGGGAATGAGCAACTCTCAATTATTGTGACATTAGGAATAGCAAGACGGATGGTCTCTTTGGTATAGTTGATTTCGTGGACGAGGTATTTTAGAGAATTGATATATATTGAGGTGGTATTGTTTTCGCATGAAAGTACGTATTTGGGATGACCGCAACGTTTTGGATCGGTATTGAGCCTGAAAGGATAGCTAATATTGCGAACTCCGCCACATGAAGAAGGGGTGCAGTACTTAATTTGGTTTCCATGGGATTTTTGGGTGAAATATAATTGGGTGGTGATGAAGAAATAAATGAATTTGAGGAGGAGGCTTCGGCTGAGGATATACATGTATGTATGTATATTTGGCTGATGAAGAAATATATGAATATTTGGTGATTAATTTGAAGAGCTATAGCTTATAAGTTTGGGGATATGATTAATTAGATGGAAGAGATGAGAGATAGAAGACTATAGTAATGTGTGAATGGAGGAGTTTGTTTTTTCGTTAAGAATAATTGAGCAAATAGTGAATTCAACACAACTAGGAAATGCAGTCAACTCAACTTGTATGGAGGAAAATTCAAGTCCACCAACTACTTACAGAGGAAAATTAATATCACATTTTGTAAAAGAATTAATATTGATGGGTGAAGATTGATGTGTGTGTGGTAGGACTGAGTCTTGTTCACAATAATTAAACAAGTAGTCTACCGTGAAATTTACGCTTGTGTGTGTGGTGTTGCTTCTTCAAAAGGGCAACACCACACCAATCACCATCCGAGCTAGGACAACTATCACATAACAGGTCATGATTAAGGAAAGAGTCGAGTAATTTCCGTCAAATTATATTGGAGCTAATTGTCAATACCTTTCCTATGTAATCTCTAATTGGCAAATACTCCATGTCAAAAAACACTTACCAACGCCCCCTCGTGTAATCAAAACTGTCTTTTTAGGCATTGACTAAAAGTGAAATGACAAAAATGCCCTCTGGATTTTTCAGCAATTAGTAAAATATATATTGTAAAGATTTATTTTTTAAAACTTCTCAACTCTATAATTAATTTAATTAAACCAAATTTTATTACACAATTATTTTTAATTTTTTTTTGTGTAGTTATTTTTAATTTTATAAACTTATTTATTAATAATTTTGTAATTACAAAATATAAACAGAAGTTAAACATATATTGTTGTATTAAAAGATTTTATATGTTTTACACCCCCTTTTATATTACATTTTAATTTACATTAAAAAAAGGGTTAAATACAAAAACACTCATGTACTATGAACTTTGTATCAAATACCCTCTCTCCCCCCCCCCCCCCACACATAAATACAAAAACCCCCTTCACACTACATTTTTTTCAAAATATGACGAAAATACCCCTACTTAGCATGTAAACAAAAGAGTTTGTTTGAGCCATTTTCCACTATATTTTTAACATTTTCGGTCACTTTTACTTGGCAAATTTTGATATTTATATTTTTTCTCCAAAACATTAAATTACTTAGTGTTTTTTGTTTTTGTTTTTTTTTTTTTCTCAATAAAACCTTTTAATTTTGTCATTTTGAATTTCTTCATTTATTTCTTAACTGTCTTCCGGTAGTTCAAATTCTCAACAATCATAGGATTGTAAAGATGTTTGTAATCTTATGATGTTTGAACTACCGGAACAAATTTAAGAAAAAAAAATGAAGAAACTCAAAATGACAAAAATAAAAGATTTTTATCAGAAAATTAAAAAAATCTAAGCAATTAGATGTTTTTGAGAAAAAAATATAAATACCAAAATTCCCCACGTAAAATTGACTGAAAATGGCTCAAACAAACCCTTATATACATATATATACTTGAGGGGTATTTTCATCATATTTTGAAAAAAATATAATTTGAGGGAGATTTTTGTATTTATGTGTAGTACAGGGGGGGTATACGATACAAAATTCATAATACAGGGGTGTTTTTGTATTTAACCCTTAAAAAAAGAAGAAGAAAAAAAACAAAAATAAGTCTTAGCTTCTTCCCCGCTCCACCCCACCCCACCCTACCAACCACCCAAATCAACACTTCTTCTCCCCCACGCACCTTCCCCACCACTGGCTCACCTTTCTTGCACCCCATCTTCGCGTAGTACAATTTCTCCTCCAATTCCACTCTTCCTATGGCAGCCCATATCTGCAATTTGAACAAAGGCGGCGACGACGGCGATTATGTGCAGGAGAAGAAAAATCTTACCTATACACAACTCTCTCTCGCTAAGAAATGGGTGGTGCCAAACGGCGGCGGTGACTAGGGAGAGAAATTTGAAGGAGTAGGTGGATGGCGGTGGTGCGAGACAGGCCAAAGAGCGGCGGTGGTGCTAGACGGGCCAGAAGACGGCGGCGATGCCGAACTTTTTCCAGGTTGGGAGGTGGGCGGCGGAATGGAACGAGGAAGAAGATCTGAAAAAAAATTCAATTTTTGTTCCTTATTGCAATTTTGGAAATTTTAAAATTTACAATTTGGTCCTATAAATTATAGTTATTTATAATTTAACCACTCGGATTTTTTTTTTATTTATACAGGGGTATTTATGACATTTCACCCTAGAAATAACATAAAAATTCGCAGAGCCCGCGAGTGAGAGACACGATTTGCCTTAAGGGGTCTCGATGCATTGACTTTGGTTACACAGAGGGCATTGGTGGGTTTTTTTGTAAGGGGGTATTTGCCAATCTTATATATAAAAGAAAGAAACGCTGGGCAACCCTAAAAATCCTTAATGGTATTTCAGTAATTAATTATTTTTAATATTTTTTTCTTTACTAATTTCTAACCATCATTTTTAACATTTTTTTTCTACTAATTTTCAACAATTATCAAATTCCTATTTTTCATCAATATATCTCAAATCTGAAGAGAAAAAGATAAAAATTCGATTTTTTAAAATCTTAATCTATATATTTGGATTGTAATTCTTAATATGTAAGATTTAAAAAAACTAATGTTATATAAAATATGAATAATATTACATTATTAAATTTTACTATGTTAGTGTACTATATTTTTTATTATGTATTAAATTGGTTATTTTTTTCACTTTCGAAATAATATCCCGTGCATCGCACGGGAAAAAAACACTAGTTAGTAATTACAAAGGGGAGGTATTTGCAATTAACTCAATTATATTGTACTGAATTTGTTGGAGAGAAAACAAATAAATCACCATCACAATTCTCATCAGTTCCACCACTATCAATTGGCTTACAAGGTCCTTGTGGCTATCCGGGTTTCGATCTAAACTGCGACAACATCCGTTCTCCGTAAGTGTTGTTGTGAAGGAAGTCAACTATAATTTAGCCGAAGTCAACTATAACTCATTCATCAGTTAGTTATATTAAGGATTAAATACACTTTACACCCTTAAAGTATGACTATTTTAACACTTACCTCCCTGAAATATCACTTGTAACAGTTACCCCTCAACTATTATTTAATTAGTATATTAAAACTAAAAAGATGCAAATACCCTTATACTCAGTGGCGGATCTAGCTATGGTCTAGGGTGTGCAGTTGCACACCATTGATTGGGGCCATTTTTTTTTTTAGAATATTTCGGATTTTTTTTTTGAGAATTGGGGTCATTTTGTAATTATTTACAAAAATACAATAAAGCGTCGTTCAAAACGACGCGCTTTAACAGCCGTTGGATTGAGCTGAGATTGACGGCCAGATCTCCTATCTTGTCCTCCTAATCTGACGGTCAGGATAGATCGCAAGATCTGACGGTCGCTAAAACGCGTCATTCTGAATGACGCGCTTTAACAGCCGTTGGATTGAGCTGAGATTGACGGCCCGATCTCCTATCTTGTCCTCCTAATCTGACGGCCAGGGATAGATCGCAAGATCTGACGGTCGCTAAAACGCGTCATTTTGAATGACGCGCTTTGACCTGTCAGATGGTCAAACGCGTCATTTTAAACCACGCGTTTTAGCGGCCGTTCGATCCTTCTCGATCTAACGGTTGTGATTTCGGCCGAATATATATATATATATATATATATATTTATCCCTTAACCACATTTGCTGCTGCCTTGCTCCCTTCTTCCCAACACCACCGTAAGTTTTCTCTTCTCTCCATTTTTTATTTGTTAATTATTATTTTATTGTTTAATTTATATTTTAACTACACTGTTAATTATTATTTTATTGTTTAATTTATATTTTAACTAATGTAGGTAATTTAATTAATTTCAGCAGGGTACTTATTGAGGTAATTTTTTTCACTCTTTCAATTATTATTATAGTTAAATAGAATTTTAATTATTAATATAATTTTGTTAAATTTTTATTAATGGTGGATTAATGAAATTTTGATCTAGTAAATTATCAATTAATTTGGAGATAAATTATTTCTTGTATTGTTAAAATATATATAATTTATTGTTATAACTAGGTGGAAGCTTAATTTATGGTGTTTTGAGAAGGAATTTTTGTAGCTAGCAAATAATAATATTTTGAAGGTAATTATTTGTTATATCGTACAAATGTAGTAGTTTTGGAGCTGTGTTTTTTTTCCCCATTTTTAAATAATTGCTGAAATTTTTATTTTGATGGTCTTTTTATTATTATAAATAGGTGGAAGTTCAACTTGTGGTGGATTGAGTAGTGATTGTGGGTGCTAGCAAATCTACAATTATCTTTGAGGTAAATTAAATATTTTATTGGTTAATTTAAGTCTTACTTGAATGATAAGTTTGCTAATTTATACAAATTGTTTGTTTTTAACTGGTTAGTGTTATGTGAATATGTCGAAAAATTACGAGTTACACAATGTGTTTAGGATTTATAATATACAAATTAATAGTTTTGGAACTATCAAATTATAAAAAAAATTAGAAAATATAAGTGTTTGTTTTAATTGATTTATAATATAACATAAGTGTTTGTAGCTGTAAAAAGAAATAGAAAATATTAAATATTTCGAAATAAAAATAATAATCTCAAAATATTAAAATATAGGGTTTCAATGGCGACTCCGGGTAGGAATACTGTCAAAGTTTTCGTGTACATAGGAGGCCAGATTGTTTATGATGGATTGTCAGTGAATTATGATCAATCTCATCATACAGTCGTACGAGTGAAACGCGATATATCTTTCTCAGACTTCTTGGCGAAAATATACTCACGTTGCCGAATAGATAGAAATGAATTTGTGTTATCGGTGTCGGGCAAAATATCACGATGGTATCAAAATCAGTGGAGCGAGATAGTTTCTGAGATAACAAGTGATGATGATTTAGAAATCTATTTGCACCCGGATGAAGGAAACGATTCCATAGATGTTTATGTTGAGTCTCAGCCTTTATACAATCCTTTGATGCCTTCACAATTCACTACATCAGAGCCTCTCTACTCCCCTCCGAGACCTTCACAATTCAGTACATCAGAACCTCTCTATTCCCCTTCCAGACCTTCACAATTCACTACATCAGAACCTCTCTACTCCTCTTCGAGACCTTCACAACATTTTGATTTGAATGATGCGTACAATTCATTTATGCAAACAAGTCCTGAGTTAGTTGCGGTTACACAAGGGTTTTCTAATATGGGCTTTGAAGCGGGGCCATCGAGGCATTCTTATCAAAATCTTGGGGTACATATTGGGGAATCAAGTGGCATGAGAAATGCTCGTGAAAATTTTGATCTTCCTAATGAAACTCGTCATTGTGATAATAATGATGACGATGATCCTTTCGGAGACGCACATGGGCCAAATGTTCGAAGCGACTCTGAACCCTCCGACCATGGAGACGATGATGATAGTGGTGAAGAGAACAATGATGAGAATATCGAAGCCGTTGATGACGTTGTACAAACAATATCGCAGCCAGAAATTCCATCAACTTCACATGTTCATGTCAGCAATCCATCATTTGCAGAACCTCCTACTCAGTTTTATGATCCACCTTCGTTCTACTCTCTGTCATTTCCTGAAATCCCAGCCGATTCCATTGATGTTCCGTCGGGTATGTGGTCAAAATTTTATGATAGCAGCAAAGGTACTCTCGAAAAGGGGATGATTTTTGATAGTAAAGCAAGGGTCATTTCAGCCGTTAGAGACCACTCCATTCGATTTGCCAGAAGAGAGTTTAAAGTTATCGAAAGTACAAAAAGAACTTGGAAGGTTATCTGCAAACACGACACTGAAGCAAGACCTTGCAGATGGAGGCTAAGGGCATCAAGAATTGGGGATAGAGGACAATTTAGAATTGGGATCTACGATGGCGATCATAGTTGCGGTATGCAAGGGATGACAAATAATCATGGCAACTTGAACATCAATTATTGCGCCGCAATTCTATTGAAAAGTGTTCGTGAAAATCCAGTTTGTGAGATTTCAAAGGCAAGAGAGATTGTGACCGCGCAAATAGGATATGAGATATCCTACATGAAGGCATGGTACACTTTGAAGCGATGCAGAGAAAATGTATATGGAACATGGGAGAGTTCGGTCCAGAAGTTGCCAAAATTTATGAAAGCACTGCAACAAAGGAATCCAGGCACAGCTGTTGAGTGGGAACATCACGCGACAAATCATCCATCGAAATTCATAATCAAATACGTCTTCTGGGCCTTCAAGCCGTGTATTGATGGTTTCAAATACTGTCGTCGGGTGATCAGCGTCGATGGAACTCATTTGTACACTAAGTAAAAACATAAGATGTTGCTTGCTGTGTGTTTGGATGCGAATCAACAAGTTTTACCACTTGCGTATGCAATTGTTGATGAAGAGACCGCAAGTGCATGGAAGTGGTTTTTCAAATGCATTGACAAACATTTACTTTCGGGCATATCGGATGGTATTTGTATAATTTCGGATCGAGGAACCGGTATTTTAAGTGCCATCGATTCAATGCCCGAGTTTCGGCCCCCTCGTATCACCCATCGATTTTGTTTGAGGCATGTTTGTTCAAATGTCAACGCCAAGTTTAAGAGCATTGTGGTGAAAGATTTTTGTTACGCTGCTGGAAAACAATCTCAGGTTTGGAAGCTGAACCGGTATTTGGACAAGATTGGGGAGGAAAATCCCAATGCACTCAGATACTTGATGAACATGGATCGAGAAAAGTGGACTTTAGCACATGATGGAGGGTCTCGACGCGGTCAGTTGACGACCAACTTGTCCGAGTCCATCAATGGTGCTTTGAAAGGTGCTCGTAAACTGCCTGTCACAGCTATTGTGGATTTTACATTTCATCGAGTGGTTAAGCACTTTATTAATCGAGTAGCGAAAGGTAATAAATGGGAGCAATTGGGACAACGATGGGCCGAATTTCCATTGAAGAAGTTCAAATTATGGGAGGAACATTCGACGACACATTACATGAGAAGGTTCAACACTCGCAACTACGCTGGTGAGGTATTCACCAGGGCAAAACCTCAAGGAGGTGGAGGAAAAACACATTGTGTCGATCTTAGGGCCAAAGAATGCTCGTGTAATAAGTGGACCTTGTTTGGGATTCCTTGTTCTCATGTGCAACATGTATGTCGTGATTTCCGTTTGGATGCCGAAACTTTGGTTGCCGAGTACTACAGTGTTAGAAACCATAAGAACACATATAGTGGCGTGTTTCACCCTTTGCTGCCTGAAATGTGCTGGGCGGATGCAGATTTTGAGCTATTTCACGATGTTACCCTACGGAAAGCTACACGACGGGGTAGGCCAGAAAGTTCTCGTATTCGTAACGAAATGGACCGACCACAAGCACGTGCTAGAAGAAAATCTCGGGCAACACAAGAATCACACTAGTTATTTTATGTTCTATGTTATGTTATGTTATGTTATGTTGTGTTTGTTAGTTTATGTTACGTTATGTTATGTTATGTAATGTTTGACTTGAAAATTCGGTTTCGCTTATAATAATAATAATAATAATAATAATAATAATAATAATAATAATAATAATAATAATAATAATAATAATAATAATAATAATAATAATAATAATAATAATAATAATAATAATAATAATAATAATAATAATAATAATAATAATAATAATAATAATAATCTTATGTGCTTTCACATGAACTTGAAACAGGATTGAAATGGAGAACGCTGTATACGGTCCCCGAGATCCCTCACTTCTGTATCTTCAGAATGATCATAGATCAAGTGCTTTGACAGAGTCTAATATGGATACGAGCATACGAGTTAGACGAAGTGATCATGGGATATGGAGTGTCTTTCATAGGCCGCACAACCCTCATCCTCATCCTCGGGTGTTATCTTTTTTGGTCCAGATGAAGTTATATGGTGTATATCGATGTCGACGTATGCAAGCAGATTGGGCACTTATCACTGCATTAGTAGAGAGATGGCGCCAGGAGACTCACACATTTCACTTGCGTGTAGGGGAGGTGACAGTCACCCTACAGGACGTGGCGTTGATATACGGACTACCGGTTGACGGACGTCCGGTCATAGGAGTTGATACTCATCGTAGGACTCGTGAGTGGCAGCAGTATTGTATGACATGGCTGGGATTTGCACTGGATTCATCAAAGATAAAAGGATCGAAGTTGAGCGTCAAAGCCCTTAGTGAATATTTAATCAATAATCCCGTTCTTGATAATAGTACATATGAGCATCTTGTTCATTACACTCGAGGGATTGCTTTTCTCATAGTAGGGGGGATTATGTGTCCCGATCACACTGGCGACTCTATTCCGTTGCTGTATTTGAGACATTTAGAAGATCTTGATGCTGTCAGTTCATATAGTTGGGGTAGTTGTACTCTAGCAGTCCTCTACCACGAGTTGTGCAAAGCATCGAAGATATCTGCAAAAGAAATCAGTGGTCCTGTTCAATTATTACAGGTAACATATGAATTACTTATATAATTTAGTACATTAATACATTTAATTTGCAGTTTATATTTTAAAAAATTTATATTCTTGTATTATTTAACAGATATGGGCATGGATGCGGATTCCTCCATCAAGGCCCATACCTACTCTGGCGAAATGGGGCACAACACTTGAGTATGCAGGATATGAGTTTCCCGTACCACCTTACGGTGCACGGTAATGGTTTTGAGATTTATGTTAAATTATTTTTGCATTATTGTTACGGTGATTTGTGTATAAATTTTTTGTATAATATATAATAATATATCACAGGTGGACCAACCATGTCAGCTTCATTGAGACTGGTGCACATGTTCTTCGTATTTTTAGGATGATGTTGGATCAGATGCTCCCAGATCAGTTTATATGGATGCCATATGATCTGGATGATCCGGAGTATCAGGCTGTAGCTGGTGATTCGGCGATCGCATGTTCAGGTATATGGGTATCCAGAGTCCCCTTGATATGCTACGCAATTGTGGAGATGCATCGACCAGACAGAATAGTACGTCAGTTCGGGATGGTACAACCCATACCTGAACCTCCTGAAAATACTGAGACGGATTTCCGGATGCACGTCTGTTAGAATCCGGGAGGATTCTAATTTCGGTTTTTCAACACGAGTGCGAAAAACGTGTATAAAAACTAGGGAAGTTTCCTTAGTTCTTTAAACTCTTATTTTGTCATTAATTTATTTAATTGCCTAAGAGTTTTATTAACAAGGAATTTCTTTGACTAAGACTTTCCTTGTTTACATAACTCTTCTTTTCCTTACGTAAAGATTATATCTAACCTAATGGGCTCTAATCTTGTAGGGCTCTACTAATTCAAGTAAGGAAGTATAAGAAGGGCAGCATCAACGTCGATATAGGTTGTCCCTTTTATTTTGAGAGAAAACGATTTTCTGCTCTTACGTTGCTGCTCCAGTATTCCCGGTCTTAAATCGAGAAGAAAATACAGAGAAAGGTTTTGCTTCTTTCACCGAAAAGAAGATCGATTCTTCGGGAGGAGAATTCAGAAGATCTCGGGAGGAGGTCGATCCGCCGACTGAGGGACTCAGCGTTGAAGGAATTTCAACCGTGCGGAAAGGGACGTGCTGCAAAGTGAAGGTTGACAATTCAGCGTAGGATACAAGAACGGCGTCGACAAAGAGGGAGTCTTTGCATTTTCGATTAAGTCCTATTACTGTATTCGTAAAACTAAAAATTAGTGAATTTCATTTGCAGGTCCCCGTGGATGTAGGGTACAATTGTATCCGAACCACTTTAAAATTTGTGTCTTTTTATTACTGTTCCATTAACTGTTGCAACTCTTCGTAAAACAGTAGAACAATAGCTAAAACTGAATCTGGGATTTATTGGACACAAATTTATAATTAATTTGCACGAAATAATTCTAACAATTGGCATCAAGAGCCTGTCACTAAATACATCTAGTGAGATTTTGGGAACTGATTACTCTTATTTTGTGCAGATATGAATACTCAACGAGAAGGATCTTCAACTACTCGTCCACCTCTCCTAATCGGCTCCAACTACTCATACTGGAAATAAAAAATGAAGATGTTTATCAAATCCATAGATGAGAGAGCATGGCGCGCCATCATAACTGGTTGGACACCTCCCATGGTCAAAGGAGAAGACAAAGTGGAAGTATTCAAACCAGAAGCAGATTGGAATGATGGAGAGATACTACTCGCAAACTACAACTCAAGGGCCCTAAACGCAATATTTAGTGGTGTTGATGATAATCAATTCAAACTAATAACGTCTTGTGAATCTGCAAAAAGAGCTTGGGAAATCCTTCAAGTCACATACGAAGGAACGTCAACTGTAAGGACATCCAAGTTACAAATGCTGGCCACCAAATTCGAAAATTTGAAGATGGAGGAGAATGAGACGATCACTGACTTCCATGCTAAATTATGTGATATCTCCAATGAATCATACGCACTCGGTGAACCATACTCAGAAAGCAAATTAGTGAGAAAAGCGATGCGCTCATTACCTGAAAGATTCGCTTACCGAATTGCTGCCATTGAAGAAGTCAGAGACGTTGACACGCTCAAACTAGACGAACTCATGGGGAAACTTCTAGCACAAGAACTCAATCATGGTGAAAATCATCGTGAAATGTCTAGAGAAAAGAAGATAGCCTTTCAAGCAGAAACATCATATGCAACGCCCCAAAATTCGTCAACTCAAGAAGATGAGCAAACAGTTGAAGAAACCTTGGTACTACTATCGAAAATTTTTGGGAAATTTCTCAAAAAGATCGGAAAAAAGGGAAATCTTCCAAGCACAGGGAAACCCGTGAATTTTCAAAATTCTAGGAGAAATTCAAATCAAGATAACTCAGAGGAGTCAAAACCAAGAAGAATACAATGCCGAGAATGCAAAGGTTTTGGTCACATTCAATCAGAATGCGCAAACACCCTGAAGAAAAAGAAGAAAATGTCACTTACTACTGTTTGGAGCGATGAAGAAGAATCTGATGATGACCAAGGAAACAACGATCAAGTCACTAACTTTGTAGCATTCAGCAGCAAAGTTCCTATGAAAATATGTGTTCTGATTACGACAAAAATCTAAACGAAAATTCTTCTTTTGCAGAGGATCCGAACAGCAGCAGTGATGAGGAAGAACCAACCTTGGACGAAGTAAAGGAGGTATATGAAAAAATGTACCAAAAATGGCTCGACGTCGTTAAGGTAAATAACTTCCTAGAAAAGGAGAAGTTTGTGCTTGTAGAGGAAAACAAGACACTAAAGGTAAGAATCTCTACTCTTGAGGAAAGGGTCATATCTAGTGATCAAGAGAAAAATAGTTTGCAGGCTAAACTTACTCAAACTCAAGAAGCAATTGCAAAATTGAACTTGGGTAGAGGTAATCTAGATGAAATCTTAAGCAACAACAAGCCAAACTATAATCGTCTAGGCATAGGAGGGAGTCAGCTACCCAAAGTTGATCTAAAGCGAAAGGAAGATCAAAACAGAAAAATCAACTTTGTTAAACAAGCTTCTGTCTCACAAACAGTTGCAACTGTTGAAGCAACGAAACACGATTCAAAGAAAAAGTTTATTCCCACTTGTTTTTTCTGTCAAAAACCAGGTCACATACGTCCTAGATGTTTCAAATATTTAAAACTTGTGAAAAAGCTTGTGGCTCGTTCTCTTTACTCTGCTAGGGCTGATTATTTTCCTTCACCCTCTCAAAAACCCAAAAATAAAATTGATATTTCCAATAGACCTCAGCAAAAAATTTGGGTTGAAAAGTCCACGTTTAAATGCTTATCGGCGATTACTTCTTTAAAAGCAAGTACTACTAATGATTGGTATTTTGACAGTGGGTGTTCACGACATATGACCGGTGTTAAAGAGTTTCTGAAAAACTATCAACAAATCACCGGTGGAGCTGTTACCTTTGGAAACGGAAAAAAGGGTGAAGTGCTAGGGAAAGGATCGCTAAATTATGAGAATCTGCCAAAGCTGAAGAATGTACTGCTTGTAGAAGGACTCACGTCAAATCTGATAAGCATCAGCCAGCTATGTGATCAAGATCTTGAAGTCAGATTCAACAAATTCGCATGTCGAGTATTAGACAAAGACGAGAATTGTGTTATTCAAGGAACTCGATCATCTGACAACTGCTATATTCTTGTCTCTGCAGGTATGAACTGTTTCAACAGTCTGTCAGACTCTACAGTGCTTTGGCACAAAAGGTTAGGACATCTGAACTTTGATAATCTCGTAAAAATTTCCAGCAGTGAGTATGTTAGAGGGCTGCCCAAACTCACTAAAGAAATAGGAAAAATCTGTGGTGATTGCAAAATGGGTAAACAAATCAAAAGTTCACACAGGGCTTTAGCTAATGTGAGAACCAGTGGAAACCTAGAACTTCT